ATAGATAGATAGATAGATAGATAGATAGATAGATAGATAGATAGATATACACTGCCTCAAAAAAATAAAGGGAACACTTAAACAACACAATGTAACTCCAAGTCAATCACACTTCTGTGAAATCAAACTGTCCACTTAGGTAGCAACACTGATTGACAATCAATTTCACATACTGTTGTACAAATGGAATAGACAACAGGTGGAAAGCATAGGCAGTTAGCAAGACATCCCCAGTAAAGGAGTGGTTCTGCAGGTAGTGACCACAGACCACTTCTCAGTTCCTATGCTTTCTGGCTGATGGTTTGGTCACTTTTGAATGCTGGCGGTGCTGTCACTCTAGTGGTAGCATGAGACGGATTCTACAACCCACACACGTGGCTCAGGTAGTGCAGCTCATCCCGGATGGCACATCAATGCAAGCTGTGGCAAGAAGATTTGCTGTGTCTGTCAGCGTAGTGTCCAGAGCATGGAGGCGCTACCAGGAGACAGGCCAGTACATCAGGAGACGTGGAGGAGGCCGTAGGAGGGCAACAACCCAGCATCAGAACCGCTACCTCCGCCTTTGTGCAAGGAGGGACAGGAGGAGCACTGCCAGAGCCCTGCAAAATGACTTCCAGCGGGTCACAAATGTGCACGTGGCTGCTCAAACGGTCAGAAACAGTACAGATTTTGTTGTCCAGACAGAGGGAAACTTTATCAAGTTTTTTCCCCCAGCTTCAGAGACTTCAAGAAGAATCTCCATCTTGCCTGACCTCTTTCCCAGCTCTCAATCTAAAAGTTTGCCAATCGTTTCAGAGAACAAGAAATTCTGATTTTTCTGTGTGTGTATACTGTTATTTGGTAACTTTGCGTGACAAAGAATACAGGATTTCCTGCTTAAAGAAAAAAATTTAGGCAGAAACCAGTTATGTTATTCCCACTTCCCCTTTAAAAAAGCAGAAGGGAGAATTGACTGGGTGAGTTGAAGAATTTAAAAAGAGAGATTTTTAAAGAAGAAATGCTTCTAAGAACAACAGTGATACAAATGGCAGTGTCTTGTTCAGGTTTGACATCCCTGCCCTGGGGGAAATGCCTTTTCATGTTCCTGCCACACATCTGCCTCTCCATTGTCCCACTTAGAATCTTTTGGACTACTTTTGACATTCCAAGACTTTATGAATGAATGAATGAATGAATGAATGAATGAATGAATTCTTTATTGGCTAAGTGTAATTAGACACACAAGGAATTTGTCTTGATGCATGTGCTCTCAGTATGCATAAAAAGAAAAGATACATTTATCAAGAATCATCAGGTACAAGACTTAATAATAGTCACAGGGTACAAATAAACAATCAAATCATACTAGGAAACAGTCAATACAAATCGTGAGGGTACAAGCGACAAAGTTCCAGTCATACAGTCACAAGTGGGAGGGGATGGGTGATAAGGAGTTATGAGAGATTAATAGTAATAGTAATGCAGACTTTGTAAATAGTTGGATAGTGTTGAGGGAATTATTTGTTTAGCAGAGTGATGGCTTTCGGAGAAAAAACTGTCCTTGTATCTAGTTGTTCTGGTGTGCAGTGCTCTATAGCATTGTTTTGAGGATGCTTTTGAAAAAAGAGCGGGATTCGGACTTCCAGAATGGGAATTATGCTATCAGGCAGCAGCACTTACCTGGATTAATAACATTAGCCACATCATACAAGGAAAACTTGTATAAGATATTTTATAGGTGGCATCTCCCACCAGCAAGATTGGCCAAAATGTACAGAAACCAATCACCTAATTGTTAGAAATGTCTGAAAGAACGGGGCACATATTACCATGTATGGTGGTCCTGTAAAAAGGCTCAGGAGTTCTGGTATAAAATTTGGCTGTGGCTAGAGGAAATGACAGGGCTAAAAATAAACTATAAACCTGAGATGTTCTTATTGGGAATTATGGCAGAGAAGTACAGTAAAGCTGATTCCTACCTAATAATCCAGGGGTCGCCAACCTTTTGGACCCCAGGAACCACCAAATTCATAATTTTAAACCCCGTGGACCAAAGACCCTGGGAAAATCCCCCAAAAAGTCTGCAGGAAAATTCCCCATCCCATTTTTCTACCAATCAAACGTTCTTTATTTGGGATTGCAGGATATTGTCTCCAGCTCCATTCTCATAGGGAGAAAAAGAGAAAGACTTTTAGCTTCATGCAAGGAAAGCAGCAGAAGCAGCAGAAGTCTTTCTTTCTCTCCCCCAAACTCCACCAGAAATCAGTCTTTGCCGGCGCAGCCTCTTGGAGCAGGATGCTTTGCAGGGTTCCAAAGACTCATTTCTGGTGGTTTGGGGAGAGAGAAAGAAAGACCTTTGCTGCTTTCCTTTGCGTGCAGGCAAAAGCAGAAGAAAGAGGTGGAAAGAAGCAGCTTGGTGGCCAGGCGAGGTGCATGGGGCAAGTTTATATATAGGATTTATATTGACTGTTTCCTAGTATGATTTGATTGCTTTTGTACCCTATGACTATCATTAAGTACCTTATGATTCTCGACTCTTGACGAATGTATCTTTTCTTTTATGTACACTGAGAGTATTTTCACCAAGACAAATTGCTTATGTGTCCAATCACACATGGCCAATATTCTATTCTATTCTATTCTATGTTACTAATTTAGCAACTGCAATGATTCACTTAACAAATGTGGCAAGAAAGGTCATACAATGGAGCAAAACTCATTTAACAAATGTCTCACTTAGCAACAGAAATGTTGGGCTTTTATAGTTATAAGTTATAGTTATAAGTCAAGAATTACCTGTCATATGGCTGCCTGGTTTTCTATTTGAGCAGTTCCCCTGGACACCTTTCCATTCCAGAGATCCACTTCTGGAATGTGTTACATTGGATGATTTCTCACAATAAGCTTCATTTCCTTTCTCAACTACAGGCTACACTAGAAAATACTGCTTTTTTTAAAAAAAGATGAAGGTGATGGGAAAGGATTTCTGCATCCTTGGCAAAAAAGTTTTATGGTTCTGGAGCCCTACTGAATTCAAAAGTGTACCTAATCCCTAAGTGGAATGCATTGAACTATGAAGTAGATACAGTAAAAACAAATGAACCCAGGTTAAAATTAACCAGTTGCTGTATGGACACAGCTGGATTTGGACCTGGTAAGGTTCTTTTGTGAGCACACACAACCTTTTGCTAAGCCCTGTTGAGGTGGCGTTTGATTTAGCCTGCTCTGGGACACAGCTGGTGTGATCTAGAAATTAGAATTTACAGACAACATGTTGTGTAAACCCAGCCAGCTGCCTATTTTCCAACAGCAATCATAATTTGGTACAAAATGCCAGCAAGTTCACAAGTGATATTTCAGCCAGTAATGAAGAACATTCATGTACTCAAGTTCTCTTATGGATGGGTGTCAAACTCAAGGCCTGCAGTCCACCTCTAGCCCTCGGGGTGCTTAGATCTGGCCAGCAGGCCCACCCTGGAAATAGCGAAGGACTGGCCGTGGTGCCTCTGCCAGCAAAAACGGAGCATGGCTGCAAAAAGCCATCATGGCCGAAAACAGAGCCTCAATGAGTGATGTTTGTTTGTTTGTTTGTTTGTTTATTAATTATTTGGTTTGTCAATGGCTTACAAGATAACAGGTATAAGTATAAACATAGTTATGAATACATGAAATGGATACGTATAAGAAAAATTTAAAAAAGAAACAATAGGACAGGGACGGTAGGCACGTTGGTGTGCTTATGCATGCTCCCTACAGGCCTCTTAGGAAAGGGGTGAGGTCAATAGTAGACAGTCTAAGGTTAAAGTTTTTGGGGTTTGGGAAAGAAACCACAGAGTCAGGTAGAGAGTATTCCAGACATTGACCACTCTGTTGCTGAAGTCGTATTTCCTGCAATCAAGTTTGGTACGGTTAACCTTGAGTTTGTATCTATTGTTTGCTCTTGTATTGTTATGGTTGAAGCTGAAGTATTCATTGACAGGTAGGACATTGCAATGTATGCTTTTATATCCTATATTTAGATCGGACCGAGGGCAGCGTAGTTTTAGGTTTTCTAGGTCTAGTATTTCAAGTCTGGTGGCATAAGATATTCTGCAACGAGTAGAGGAGTGGAGAACTCTTCTCGTGAAATATATGTTGAGTTGCCATGGCCCCTGGCCATGCCCTGAGTTCAAATACAACCCTGGTGCAGCCCTCAATGAAATCGAGTTTGACACTTCTGGCTTAGTCTATTCAATCCTTTATGTTCCACTGATTAAAAAGTTCTGTGCAATTCCTTTAAAACATTTAAGGCTTCCATCTGTGGGTGGCCAATGCATTCTGGAAGAGCTGCGATGAAAGAAAATGAATTCAGGGGTGAATTGCTGTCTGTTTGCAGTTGAAGGGTGGATGTTGTTCAGCACTGGAAGGTGTCACATTCTGATAAACAACCACAACCTAAAGAAATGAGAAATGGGGTTTTTAAGGCCATTTGTTTTTGTACTTCTATTTTTATTGCACCGTCAAGGCATGCAGAGTCACTCTGGATAGTGAGAGGATGGCATGTATATTTAATAAATAAAACAAATAAATACAATTAAGTTTTTATCCATATATTTCTCATTCCATAGCTCACAGATTAGAGGTCCTCAGCTTTCCAACAGCTTTGCAACAGTCTACTGACTACTTCTAGCTGCCGTTATTTGAACAAAAGCAGTTGGATTCCATTATGAAGGGGAATTTGGGTTTTCACTGGAGCATAAAGATAGCTCTGTCTCTCTTTAAAGCAGCTGCGTCCTTTTCTGTTTTGCATGTCTGGAACTACCTCCCAAGTCCCAGAAAAAGATCCAGATGCCTTAAGGACTTCAACACAGCCACTAGGTTCAAGTTCCTATACATTCCAAAGCAATTTTTGAAATTCACCTTGAAGTGCTATCTGTATCATTTGTAGATGAGGTGGTGGCACTTAATTGGGCAGGGGGAACCTTACCTCCTCCTCCCCTGCTAAGTAGAGATGAAAGCTAGGCTCACTGAGGTTTCTAGGTTGGTTTATTTTCTTTAGGTTTATTACAATATGAGAATCTATCCCCTAGGATTCAGAATCCTTGATTTGCAACATAGTACGGTGCCAGTTTGGTCCAATGGTCAAGCACTTGGCTAGAAAATGGAAGGCCGTGAGTTCAAGTCTCATCTTAGCCATGAAAGCTAGCTGGCTGACTTTGGGGTAGTCAACACTTGTTATTGGGTAACAGGAGAAGAAAGGTGTGTTGGATATACTTGCTTCCTTGAGTTATTTGTAAATAATAATAGATGGGGATGAATGAATGAATGAATGATTGAATGAATGAATGGATATGTGAAGCCCAGTGATTACTTCGTTCTATAGCACACTTTGTATATCATGTAAACTAGAATTGTATGTTGATTGGCTACTCTTTCACTACTACTATGATTATTATATTCTACCATTAACTGCCCAAACCCTACTATTCCATGTTATTCAACAAAGTATCAAAAAGCCATATTTCTGAATCCCTTTAATTAACTAATTATCTTCCTTTGGAATCTTACCGTTTCAGTGAAGGGGTCTCGGCAAAGAATCTTACAGCCAAAAGACGCAAGCGTGATGGAGATGCAAAACTCCAGGATAGCCAACACAATAAGAAAAATCAATATTCCCTTACCGATATTCTACCAATGAAAGAGAAAAGTAATGTATCCGTTTTTGTACATGCAGATAGGCACAAATATCTCCAATTGTAGAGTAAGGAAGATGACCTGGATGAGATACTGTATGCAGAGTTCTGTCTTGTCTGGGCAAAAAGGGGGATGAAGCTTTTTTAAAAAAAAAAATTGAGAGCAATGAAATGCTGTTTAAAAGTGCCTCTGCAGGCACCTCCCTAATTCACTGCAGTATACAGAGGGAAGAGGGGCAGGCCAATCAGACTTGTAAGATTCTGATTGAGCCTCGGTGGTGCAGTGCTTAGAGTGCAGTACTGCAGGCTACTTCTGCTGACTGCCGGCTGACTTCAATTTGGCAATTCAAATCCCACCAGGCTTAAGGTTGACTCAGCCTTCCATCCTTCCGAGGTGGGTAAAATGAGGACCCAAAATTGTTGGGGGCCATAGGCTGAATCTGTAAACTGCTTAGAAAGGGATGGAAAGCACTGTGAAGCAGCATATAAGTCTAAGTGCTATTGCTGTTCTTTTGTTACAGCCAGTTTCTATACAAATAGTTATACCCTTCCTGCAGAATTGATTCCTAGTCTGGTCTAGCTTGTGAGACTCAGAAATATCTTCTGGGTACATAGTCAAGGTGGGATATCTAATTTGAGCACAACAAGCAAAAAATGCAACCTAGTTTAAAAAAAAATGGTCAAAAACAGTCAAAGGCCAGCCTCAACAATGGAGTCAAAGCTCCAGCTAGTTTTTTTTTTAATGCGCATATAAAATGCTGGCAAAACATGAATTGCTCTCTTACTGTTGCCACCTTGAATTCTTGGTTATGCCCTGCAGATGTGCTGGTTGCAGTTGCTTTGAAAGGATTGGGAGGGAAAACCTCCCAGAAGAGACAACCTCTAAAAGGCAATATTCCTGCCATTCCTTTCTATGGCTAAATCTCTTTGGGATTGATTTTTGACACCACAAACTCCAAAATGTTATGCCTCCACCTAGAGAACACCATGAGCTCCCTCCTCCTTCTTCTCTGGTCCTGTTGAAACTGATGGGATTCTGTGGAAGGTCACAACAAACATATAAAAAGGCACACCTGGATTTCATCACATTTTTCCTTAGTGTCGTAACGATGATAGTTGCAGTTGTTGCCAAAATCAAATGGAAGCAAGGGGCTGACTGAGAAAAACAGGAATACGATCCCAAGGCCAGCTGTAATGGCACTTATTGCATTCATTGCCAGCATACCTTTCACCTAGGAGGGACCAATATAATAATAATAATAATAATAATAATAATAATAATAATAATAATAAT